CGCCCGCTTGGCGCAGTGGTTAGAGCTTCTGATCTAGGGTTGCAAATTAAAGAGTTGATCCTTACATTTGAATCCTACTGTGAGACGTAGAGACCGGTCCTTCAGATGAGACCGTATAAACTGAGGTCCCGTGTCGCAGTAATTGCTGGCACAAAGAAGATTCCTCACTGCTCAATGGCCGTAAATGCAAAGTATAATGCAAATGCAAAGTATGCTGACGAGTAAACCCGGGAGAGTAAGGATAATTAGGTTAAATTTCATGTTACGTAGATCCAGTTGCGTTATGTGTGACCTTTACGAAGTATTTTATGCATTTATTTATTAAATAATGCTCATTGCGATGAGTAATTTGTTTATTACCTGCTTCGTAGGATTTGACTGTCAAAAGGAATTAATGCATTGGTTAGTTTTGATGTAACGATTTTACACTTAACGAAGTTCGCTCCTCAGCTTTTCAGCAGATTTTTGTCTTGGCCTATATTTAAAAGAATCTACATAAATTTAGTTCTTACCACAGGAGTCTGAAGTTTTTATCGTAAAAAAAAAACCGGAAAAAAAATTCCCATCCTCAACTAAAAAAAACACCAGGATGGCGTTTTAGGTGTTTTAGGGGGACCAACCTAAAAAATAGATCCATGCTTGGCCAGAAAATTTTTGCATAAATTAATTCAGTTTCCGGAGTGTTTGTGCTACTTATTCAAGTTAAGAAATACAATCTGCTTGACGACTACGGGCCGTTTCTGGCCGCTTTCCCACTTGACAGCCCATCATGAACTCCATGCCACTAAACAGGAAGTTAACTCCGCAGTGAATATTTTACGTGAGCAAAAAATAGCATGTAAATCTTCATGTACAATTTTATGTTACCATATGTGATCATTAAAAGATTTGCATAATATTTTCAAACAAAATAATGCCTTATCAGGTCGCTAAGTCTAGCTGTTTGGCTCTTTGTTGACTTGGCTTTTTAGTGATTTAAGGTATGTCACTCGTGAAATTTGTTAAATCAAGGATTTTATGAGAAGTATATTTTGGATAAGTACTCATACAGAGTGACTCAAAATCGCAGAGAAAATAGGGGGTCAGTGTTCGTCTAACTGATCTACGGTACAATGAAGTTGACCTTTTTGCACTTAAATTTTAACTCTTTGGTTAATAACTTTAACCTTTGTAATATTTTTTCAGATGTTACCATGGCAATAAATATGATTTTATTTTACGTAAAATATTTACAACAATATTTATCATTGAACAAGTCTTGCAAATGAATGCGCGTAAATTATTGTGTGACCTTTTTGAACTAAAAAGTTACATTTTTGGGCTATTAAAAAAATAAATAGGCAATAAAACATTTTCTTAAATCAAGCTTTTTACGACTTTAGTGCTGATCAGTCACAAGCATCAAGTACTTTAAAATAATGAAAGAAAAAGTTGTGGTCAGTGATGTTTCTTTTGAAATATTGGTTAAAATATGTGAATTTTCAGGCGAAAAGTGGTGTAAATTTTATCTTGACTTATTTGACATACCTTCATTTTTGGCAAAGTTTGTTGAAGGAAGGTGTAAAACTTGTTCTAAAAATATAAATTAAGACCTATATTAAATATTCCTAGCAATATCATAATGGAAAATATTCTCCGAGTAAAAGTATGTGAGGCTAAAGTTCCAAGATATTAAATTTAATAAATGTGCAGATTTGCAGAATTCTCTGCTAAATATCCTTCCATCACAAGAAACAGCCCCTCATAAATCTTGCTTCTTTGTAGCTTTTTGAGCAGTTTTCTCACTGAATTTTAAAACATTAACATTGTTGAAATCAAAAATGTTTTTAAAAAAATGAATTTTAATAAATAGTTTTGAAGTAAGAGGTTCTGTTTGAACTTTTCTAAAAAGCTGATGAGTGACATACCTTAAATTTGGTGCTGTGCACTAAAAAAAAAAATTATCTCTCCCTGTACATATCGTCTTATAAGTAAGAAAAAAAATATATCTTTTTAAAGTTCTCTTAAATATATTTAAAATAGCTGAATAAAGGTACATTGAACAATTATTTATTTAATTTTATTTGAACAAGCTTTTATAGACGTCTAATATACACTGCGAGATTCTATTCCGGTTTAATGGCATGGAGTTTAGGATGAGCTGCCAATGTGGAAAAAAGGCCATTCACAGCCCGTAGTCGTCAAACAGATTGGATTCTATAATGCTAATGAAACTATATTCAAATAAGACCATATGATTTAATCATATACGGGAAACATTTAGTGAAAAACTTTATTTTGTGGCGGAAGGTTTTTTTCTAGAAGAAAAAGATCAAATTTTCCTTTTTCAAAGTACATGTATTCAGTATTGTTTAGTTTTAATACCTTTTTTTCACATCAAGCTGCACAGAGAGTAATTTTTGCAAAGAAATGTTGTATGCTGGTCATAGATTCTACATTAAATCAATTACTATGAATTCTATCACCATGTTTGGCAAGTATATCATGAATTAAAAAAATAGCCCACTTTAAGCTTAAAATTAACATGTTAATATTTCTTAAATATTAACATTGCAGACTCCCAATGTTTGTCATTATCTGAATATATATGATAATTTTAACCACTCTGCTTAAATTCGGAAAAGTTCATTACCTTTCAAACTGAATTTTTAACACTTTAAAAAATAACAAGAAACAGAGAGGTGAAATAATTGACTATTCGAAGTAATCTTAAACTATTTTTGTTGTCAAAATTATTAAGTAACTAATTACGATGAAAGAAGACTGTGGTTGATCTTATAGTTTATTTGGATTAAAAAAATGAAGGAAAACTTTGAAAAATTGAATTATGTGTTAAAAGTAATAACATTAACATAATGTCATATTAATTGACCCCTATTGCTAAAAGAAGCGCTCGTACTCCAATTTTTGATTTGAGTTTTTATTAAGCTATTTGTGTAGATTCTAAAAAAATGTATATAATATCCCCAATACTTTTGATATAAGGAACCAACCTCCTTAAATTCGCAATTATTTCATTTTCTGGTATTATTTGATATCAGATAAACGTAAACGTAGCAAAACGAGTCTGTGAGAACTGAAGTGCATCATGAGTTTGTTTCGATGACACCCCCATTAAAAATGTAAAATATACTTTTAAAACACAATTAACAAATATAAATCTGTTAACAACAAGAATGAACACAGATTTTTGAAAATAAAGATACAGCAACTTATATGTCAGTAGTATGTTTCGGTTTTAAAACTGTTCGTACTCAAGGCATTCTGTCTGAAGTATTGAATAATAGCATGAAAACGTAAAAAAAAAACATTGTGCAGGATTGCGAATTTACTACGTAGGCCAAAATAAAATTATTGTTTGTTTGGAATTGCCGCCTGCCTCTGTGAAATACCCCTCCCTCCGCTAAAAAAAATATTATTGGCAAAATATTGAAAATATTTTTTTTACCATTTTTTTCGTTTAACAGTATCTATTACGAGTTCGTTTGTTCGTCAAAATAGCTTTTTTAAAATCGGGTTTGAGGTCCACATTAATTTAACAACACGATCAGTAAATAGATTTCTTAATAGTATTTATGATATAGCGGTTAGAAGATCTTCGACAAAATGAAAGCCTGCAATATGTCAGACCAGGCTGGATGTGAAAACGTATTATCGTTGAGGAGTCAAACTTTTATGCGTCTCCATAAAAATGAATGGAATTAAGAATAAATGATATGACATACATTTTTAAATGAAAGGGTACTTGGGAAGATACGTTGACAGAATTTGCAAATTGAACTGGACAGGTCCGTAATGTAGCTCATTTTGAAATTAAAAATGATATTTCAGTTATATCCAAATTACATGGATCAGAAATGTGTTATCCCGACATTGATAATAAAGAGAAGGTTGTCTGTCAGTCTGACAAATCTTTGAAACGTAATGTTAAAATTGATTCAATATGGCAAAGACGCTAGATGACATCTACCGCCCCTACTTATTTTCGATAAAATGCCCTGCAGATTTTCATGTGGTTCTTACTGTTACATGTAGTATGGATTGTCTTGACAAACATGGCAAGGGGTAGACATTCAAAGGAAAAATCTTAGATTGAATAATGTTCGTTATCTCCATATCCTTCATGAAATAGATAGATAAAAGGATCTTTTTATAAAGATTTTAAAAAATTTGAAGTTTGATGCTGAAATTTGAAATAAATAAATAAATAAATAAATGATCAGATCAAAACATCTAATTATAATTAGATTGATCTTTGAGTATCCCTGTGTATATATTTCTTTCAAAAATTAACAAAAATAATATTAATAAAATAATATTAATAAAAAAGGAGAATGAGAAAAAGTTATCAAAATCACCACTGTTCATCGAATTTTTCATTTTTTGTTCATTTTTTGAATTTAATAACTACAATTTTGTATTTAAAAAAGTCACTCCCTCTTTCCTGGGTCTGAAACTCACAGACGGCAATTCCAATATTTTTTTTAAACTTGGCCTTAACTATTCATAGAAACTTGTAAGCCATATAATTTTCTTGTTAGTAGGTTATCTGAATTCTTCTATAGCTAGTACAATATTCTATTATCAAACTGATGGACCTAGCTGGAATAAGTCTTTTTTTTTTTTTAATTTCCCTGGAATATTTCAATTCGAAATATGAATGTAAGTCTGTTTGGTCGTGATGAAGCGGGGAATATTGCATGTAAAAGGGTCAATGGAAAACTGTACCCATATCCACTGAGCATGCACTGCAACTGACAATCTAAGATGTATTTCATCTATAGCCCCAAGAGTTGCTGCTGTGAATGGCTTAAAGAACGTATGAAGAGAAAAAAGGTAGATGACAAATACAAGTCTTAGATGTAAGATGCTAGTTGTATAGAATGCTTTGATCACAGGTTAAAACGTCTACCCCATACATTACTAGTATATTTTATTGTCAGTTTTGTAATGAGATATTCAAAGTCAATTAAAAAAAACCAATAAACTAAAAAACAATCGAATATTAAGCTTTTTTACCAATCAATCACATAGAGCTTTTGTTGCTACATTCATGAATGTAAATTATGGTCTATATGTAACTACTTTATTTAACAGTTTTTAATCAAATACGGTAAAAACCAGTAGAAAATGCTAAAATATTAAGTTTTTAAGCATCTACTGTTACATGCCGTTTAAAGCTGGATTCAATCTGTCATTCATTTATGTTATAAAATGATATTATTGTCTTTTTCTTCTTTTCATGAATAATTTTCTTTTAGTTATTGGAACATTTTTTTTCTAAAATCAAAAAGCATTTTAGAATCGATGTAAGCAACCCATTGAAGACATATTATATTATAAGAAGAACGATGCATATATTTATTTGATAAAAGAAATGAAATAGCACCTCAGGATGAAATGAAATATGTGATAACTAACATAGTTACATGTACATGTAAATGATATTTTTTTTTTGTTTTTCTTAGTTTTTGGTGTGTAAAACAGACAGACCTGTCACGTAGTTATAATTCATATTTGTGATTTACACACCAAACTTAATAACGTTCATTGTATCTACATGTCATGTGTTTAAAAGAATAAAAAAAAACTCAATATATGGATTCTCGCTGCTTTTTTATGACATTTTTATAAATGTCCCTAGCCTCATTGTAGCTAGGTTAAATGCATTTATCTCCTGGTAGATATACTTCAACTCGTAATTTTTTTTTTAAAAAATCCTGAATAATCCTTCGAGGACTTTAAGGGCTGTTTTCATATTCGTCGTATATATTTTCCACAAGACCATCTTGTAGTCCTTCGTTGTAGTACCCTTCGCCTCCGGACTTGAATGCCTTGTTGTTAAATGTATATTTTGGATGTTTGAAATTTATGGTCAAGATGCCACCAGTTTTCTTTCTAAATCTGTAAAAAAAAATCGTTATTGATTCTAAATATCAGGAGTTTGTTTATTGAAAAAAAATGTCTTAATACAAGAAATATTTGGCACACTTTATAGAAAATAATTTTTACTGTCATTTTTGAGTCATATGCAACGAAAACATACTATACATTACAATATCACGTACAATATTATAATATCTTTTATTTTCTATAATTGTTTTAAACATACAACAAAAGTAATTTATTCAAATGTCATCAAAAATGAAAAAAATAATCCTCACCTCTTCAGTAGAAGTACCGTGAAGTATGCAATATTCAACACGATGACAGTTATAGTCAATCCAATTAAACCATATATAAAATCAACTCCGAAAGGGAATGCTTCAGCTGCAAATTAAAACAAAAATAATCAAATTTCAATCCAGAAGGGAAGTATTAATTTCTTTTCACTTTCTTAAAGAAATTTTTTACAATAGAAAATATTGAGCGTTTTAACCAACATTGATGCTCATATTCGTGTAGAGTGTTTGACGTTCATTCGCAATATCAAATTCATTAAAATTAAATCGCTTTATTATATACCAATATTTTAAAAAATGTACTAGTTTTGACTTTGTCTTCATGAAGGGATTTTATTTAATAGAAACCAGGAATGCTAGAAATATATATCTTACTTTCATCGCATGTATCTCCACTGAATCCCTTTTTACATCCGTTATGGCATTTTCCTGTCACGTGATGACAAACACGTGACCTTTTACAGAAAATCCCACACTCCTTTGTACAATTTTGTCCGTAAGTACCAGGTCCACAAACTATACATGAAGGGATATAACAGTTATATTTAAATTTAACAGCTAGGTTTGTAAGTTGAAGTTTTCATACAAAGCAATACAAAGTCTAAAAAAAAATCATAAGGATGCCATTATGATTGAAACTTGATCCCATTTTACGCATACGTAAAATTTATCATCTATTTCGCAAAATATAACGCATGTCTATTTTTTCAATAATTATATTAATTGTCAACATCATTTAGGGTTTAAAGCTATCAAATGTTACCGGTATTTCACACCAAATACCCAAATTTCTGTGAACATAAATAAATTAATGCTTACACAATGTTAATAATAATTTACTAATATTACTGCAATTGATAATGATACATGTACTTAGAAATAATTATATTATAAAGGTATATAAATTCTTTTTATTGCTCAACTATTAGAATATTGAATCCAATTTCACAAAAGCAAATTTCTTAAAGCTTTATAATGAGGTGTATATCGACATTATGTTTATGTATATATAGTCCTAACTAAATAATCTTGAATCTGAAAAGTGGGAAGTGGAATACCTTATCAATTAAAACAATAATAACTCACCATCTGTACATTTATCTCCGCGCATTCCATTTGCGCATCCATTCAGACAAAATCCTGTCACGTGATTGCAGGGTTCTCCGTTTCTACAAAATCCACATTCACCAGAACAGAGATGCCCATGACTACCAGGTCCGCAAGCTATTTGAAATGGTATAATGCATGTGTTTTTGATTCCGTGATAAGAAAGTGGATTAAAAGGATTTACTTTATCTCAAACACGGCCGACGTGTTTAACATATAAAGCTTACTTTCATTGCAGTAATCACCAGTAAAGCCATGAGGACAAGAGTAACAAGTGCCCGTTGTTACATTGCAGAGTCCATCTTTACACGTGGTGGGACAATCCACACACTCTCCTTCACTCTGTAGAGTGTTAGAACAACCTGAAGTCAAAACGTTATCAAAAAGTCTCAATTCTTAGAGTTAATAATATCGCTATTTTATAAGCACACTTTATAGTCAATCGATTAAAATTTACTGGCATAAAAAACCTTCAATGGATTTGAATTAAAATATACCATTACTCTAGTGTAGCATACAATGATCATTTTTTTCATGTACTTACACCAGTATCAAATTTTTGGTATTGTAAAAAATTTGTAAATTTGTTTTTTTTTTCCTCAAATATAAATTGAAAAAGATAATACAGAGAAACAATTGATAGAAAAAGTAGACAGTCATTAAAAGTAAAAAGATATGTACCGTAAACTTCAACCTCGCACAATTCTAAGATGGCGATGTTTGAATAAAATGGCGGATATGTGACTTCCGGATTTCTTTCATTGTAAATGATGACGTATCTGCCCCACGTGTTACACGTCAGCGTCATGACGGGGGTGGGGTATCCCGGTCTCGCCTGCAGCGAGTGATAACAAAGCTTGCCGTTATGTCGGTCTGTATCGTTAGATATGTAGAGGAAAAACCCCGCGAATCGTCCCCTGTAATGGGTGACTGCAAAAAAAAAATTAATGAAGAAGAGTTTATCATTAAATTTATTTTACATTTCTATTTAATTTTTATAAGGCTTTTTTTCTTCTTTCGAAAAATTTACAAAAAAAAACACTCAAATTAAATTTCATTATGTAAATTTTTATGCATCAGCTAGGTTTCCTCTTAAGGAGAAGCAAAATGTCGTGTTAGAAGCTCTTAACTTTTCTTGTTTCTTTTGTAGATTTTCAAACGATGGTGTAATATTCTAAGTCTTAACCCAGTATTGTTCTTCTCTATATTAAATGTTGACTTGGTGGTTATGTCTAATGTCTTACCCCAGTATTGCTTCTGTCTGTAGTATACTATGACTTGCTGGTTATATATTCTAAGTTTTACTCCAGTATTGCTCCTGTCTTTAGTATATTATGACTTGCTGGTTATATTCTAAGTTTTACCCGAGTGTTGTTCCTGTCTGTACATGTAGTATAATATGCCTTGATGGTAATGTCTAATGTCTTACCCCAGTATTGCTCTTCTCTGTAGTATATCTTGACTTGGTGGATTCCCACAATCTTCTCCAGATCTACGTACCAGGAGGCGTTAGTTTGCCCGATCTGGGTTACGGCACATGAGTTACTATACACGTGGGTCAATCTATTCCCATCCACGGCTTTCTCGGGTCCCCAGCCTATACGATGAGTGGAAGATTGAACAGCATGTTTCCCGAGAGCTAGATTTTCTGAAAGAAAGAGGAACCACTTATTTAGGTACATGTATACCGTGAAACACATTTCTAAGTGTCAGGAGACGACAAACGTCCTATTATCCCTATCCAGGACCAAACTGACTCTCTTGACTATCCGATGAGTGAAGGACTGGACGACGTGTTTATTTCTGGTTTAAGGACAGATGATACAAACAAATTTGTCAAAAAAAAATGAAAATAACAACTTGAGTCATATTTAATGACTAAAATGAATAGGTTTCACCGCATTGATTTTTTAAAAAATTTCATTCAAATTTTCACTAAAATGGATTTGAAGTGAAAAATATTTGTATAGATTAATCAATATGGATGGCTGCATATGGGCAGAATTTTGGACATTATAGAAGGTTTACAATTTCTTTATATTTTAGAAATATTATTTGCATCATTTTCAATGAAATTAGGCCAAAAAATATATACCAACCTAGGCATCCATTTTTTGTTTGTATCATCTGTCCTTAGACCTTTCAATACATTTTTTATTCGCAGAAATCTTTTGACCAATTAAAAATGCATCTATTCAAAACATACGTTTTGAGGTGATGAAATAAAGGGCTACTCCCTCCTCCAAGTGAAGATAATTATAAATTAGTGAAAAATTGATTTAAAAATCTTCTTCTCAAGAACCACTCGGCCAGGAAAGATGAAACTCATGTCGAAGCATCCTCAGGTAGTGTAGATCCAAGTTGTTTAAGTCATGACCCCCAGGGGTAGGGTGGGGCCACAATTGAGGATTAAAATTTAACTTGGGAATATATAGAAAAGAAATATTTAATATTTATTTGGAAGCATCCTCAGGTGATGTAGATTAAAGTTTGTTAAAATTATGACCCCTAGGAGTAGAGTGAGGCCACAATGGACTATCCAAATTTATCATAGGTGAATACAGGTAAAATCTTTTTAAAATCTTCTAAAGAACGGCAAAGCCATGATTTGTAATATTTTCATGAAGGCATCTTCAGATAGTGCAGATTCAAGTTTGCTCAAATCGTAACCCCTCCGCTTGACCCCTTCTGCCTTTTAGGAGTAGGTTGGGACCACTTCTAGATCTGCATTGAAGCTTTTGAATACTAAACTGGTTTTTGCTTTTTTCCTAGCCACAGTTCTCAGGTGAGCAGTGTGGCCCCAGGGCCTATTGTTGTTATTAAATTTAATGGGTTTAAATGATAATATTTAACTTATTTATATTTAGTAATCTTATAAAAATTTTCATGCTTTATTATCAAATATCGGGAAAACATTCTCCATTTCTAATCAGATTTTTTGCACCATACATGTACCTTATGCTCCATTATTTAGTACAATTACTCTGTTTGAGGAGTCGAATTTTAGGATAATAGTAAAAATACAATCATTCAGATGCAGATAAAAAATGTTTATTATTTTAATAAACCGCAGATCAAAAACATTTCGTAATTATGCGTGTTAAATAAATTGTTTTTATATAGTTAATCAAAACAAAATTTAAACAAAGAACTTTATTCGGTAATAGCCAATATTCGCCCCCCAAATCAAACTTTGATGGAGGTATATTTAATTAAGTTCTTAAACAGGGAAGTATATGCTGATTTCAAAGCACTGAATAATTTCAAACGTAATGACGACATATGTACGTAATGACGTCACAAACATGACGTAAATTTTAGTGTTTTATGAATTCTACAGAAAAATGTACATATTTCGTCGATATTTTGAGTAAAAGTCACCGAGCGCATGTGTGTTCAGGATCAATATTTTGATATAATGTGTAGAATGATAATATCAATGAAATATGTAAATATTGTTCCTGAACAAGCATGCGCTCTATAAATTTTAAAGCTAAAATTGTTGAAATTTTGTCGATTTTGTACTCTTTCTGAAAAAGGATATAAAATCAGACTAGTTTGTGACGTCATAAAAACAAAAATTGTGAATAAACTGCTTTGAAACTATAATATGTTCTGTTAATATATATTTCTCATACAATTTATTGAATTCAGCACATTTCAGGAAGTTTTCAAAATCTGACTTTTGTGGGGGCATATATATGCAATATACCGCATATAGTTCTTTTAGTCTTTACTGTATAAATGCAACGCTTTTATACAAAAATACGCATGAATAAAATTTTGACGAGCAGACCGTCCACAGTTGTTTTAGCAAAAATAAAGTTCCCTTGTAGAAAAAGTGAATAACGGTACATTGGCAACCATTGTGCTTTTCTAATAATGTAATAGAAGCCAAAAACTGTGTTGTGATTGTATAAATAGATTTATCCTACTTTTTAAACTCAAGTTTTTATCCCAATCAACAATTCTGCTTCAAACCACTACTTTGAAGTACGTTTGAAAAGCAGACACGTGAGGATTATGATTCATTTGACACTGTCAATTCTCATCAACCTTTTAATAATGGGGCAGATTTTTTGTTAATTCATATGACACTGTAAATTCTCATCAACCTCTTTCCATATTAGGGCAGATTTATTTGTTAATTCATTTCACAAAGTAAATTCTCATCACCTTTTTTTTTTTACATAACTAGGAGATTTATTTCTGAATGTATGATTTGTACTGTGTCCTACTCCACAGCATATTTTATATATTTGCAAACATACAAAACAAATCAACCTTACATCGATGTCATTTTTCTCTGAGTTAAAAACTTGTGTGAAGTTCTATCAATACAACTTTTTTTTAAAAATGAAACAATGCTCTAACATGTATATAAATGAATGAAGACGAGTTTATAAACTTCTTATTTCCAGAGTTCTCAATCTCATCTTCAAATACAGAGCAATTAAAAAAAAATACTTTACGAAATCTATAGACACTATTTCAACGTAAAAGAATTTGTCTTAAAACATTTTCCTCAAATTTAAGATTGGAATAAAATGCTTGTTAAGTCCAAAACTTACCCAATCCCTTTGAATCCCTTATCAAACAGAAAACAAAAATATACATGTAAACAAAAAGCATCATGACGCGAGTTTGTTTTCTGTATTGCTTTAGAAGATGAGATAAAAAACAAAAGTTAAATGAATGTAGGTCACTCGCAGCTCTGTAGATTTTTATAACTTGATAAAGAGCACTACAGTGGCGTAAGAGGTAGATGAATCAAACGTGCAGTCGTGTGATTAAAGTAATTAGGGAAATCCTAACAACTTGTACTAAATTGTTTCTATAACATTTTTTAAAGAAAATTCATTCTCGTTTACAATGCATTGTTATTTCATTTTTAAATTGAAACTTGGTATTCACTATAGCAATTTAATAAGAGTGCGAACAACTGACAAACATTAATGGTAAGCAAATTATTCATCCAATATGTTTATTAGCCTCCTGTATGAAAATTCAGCATGTGGAATTTGTCATTTATTTTTATGACATAAATACGGAAGCTTATAAGAGCCACTTTCAAACTTTTACACTTCGATCTGTATATTTTTCAATCGAATTTCTTATGAAAATGACATTTCATTCTATAAATGTAAATGCAATGTTTACACATTAATCTCAAAATTTTACACAAAGTTCTGAATATTTTACACTTAAATCAATATAATTTACACTTCATATGCTACATGTGTTCAACTTTAAACTGAAATCTGTAATATGTTTATCTACACATTAAAACGTTATATTAACGATTTTAACTTATCGGCTTTTTACGCATAAATCGTAATTTACCAGATGCATGCAAACTTTTTGTTTCGCATCTTCTCAGTTTTTTCTGGCATATTCTTCTTTTCCGAATCAAGAAGTTGCAACTGACGCCAAAGTGAAATTAGTATGACAGCACCGATGATAAGAAATATCACTTATGAAATGTATATATTTTTTTTATGTACACGTCAATTATCGTCCTCAGCAATATCCTTAAAAAAGCGAACTTACCTAAGAAAATGAATAAGTATATATGTACAGATCTGTGGAGTATGTATGTAAAATGGAGGGGGTAGGGGGCATAAGACTTATTTCTTTAACTTATATATAATCTAAATGTTAGAATTTTTTTTGATGGCATTGACATATAGGCTTATGAACTTTTGTATTTTATAAAATTATTGTGTACAGATAAATATAGGTAAATGTGAGTTATAAATGGATTTTTTTTAAAATACGTAAAGAACAAGGTTGACTTTTGTCTTTTTTGGCCCTGTGAATTTCGGGAAAACCAAAACTGCTTAGTTTTAGTTTAATGCATTAATTATATAAGAAATAAATGTAATATTTTTTCCTTTGATTGAAGTATCAAAGAAAAAAATTGGACGGAAAACGTCATCAATGCGCGTAGCGCAGCGCATTGATGAAAAGGTTTTCCTTCCAAATTTTTCTTTGATATTTCGATCAAAGGAAGAAATATTGCATTCATTTCTTATCATTTAATTATGATTTTAAATTAATAAATTGAAGTTGTCTTTCACTTTACTATGAAATTTACGCATCAAAAGCGTATGAATATATCACAACAACGGTAACGTTGCTGAAATTCAAAATGACTAACTTATAGGCCTTACGAAAAAACAAGTTCTGATATATTGTCGTGTCATTACCAACCTTCTCAAACAATAATTAAAAGATTTTAACACAATAAATTACCTGTTGTGTTATTATTATACCCCCCGCTTGAAAAGCGGGAGGGTATATAGTAATCGTTAATTCCGTCCGTCCGTTCGTTCGTCCTTCCGTCCGTCCGTCTGTTACGCTTTGGGGTACCCATCTCTTATCCGCAACTCCTCTCATACCACTGAATAAAATTTGATGAAACTTTCACAGAATCTTTATTACATATTGCAATTGTGCACCTCCTATTTTACTTTTTGATCCGTCACATGTTTTGGGTTTCACGGCCACACCAAAACATGGACTTTGCCATTATAACTATATGGAGGCGGGGGGTATCATTTAGTGAGATCATCGCTCACAGTACCTCTAGTATTTTGCTATATCCCAATGGGTATATTTTCCCAGGTAAACTCGTAAATGTAAAAGGAAGCTACACGTATATCCTAACAGTTCTATATAGGTCACAGAAATTTTGGATTTCATTTGCGCTCCTTTTCATCTGAATTTCAAACCGGTCACCTAAATACTTATCACAACCTGTCAATGCTGTGAAATCTTAAAAAGTCTGTTGCCGACTGTTTAAGATTAGGCTTAAAGAATTCCGTCCTCACTCATGTTGTGTCGTTTTTCTCGATCATTCGTTTTCTAAGAATTAACACATTAACGGCATTTCCCAGATTTGGTAGCATAAAAACATTTTTTCACAGTTCTTTCGTTCGTTAATACCAGTTATCTCAAAGGCATTAATTTAACATAAGTATGCTGATTTCTTTCATTCTTTCCAATAACTGCACATATTGTTGTAATGCAGACGATTTGGTTTGCTTAGCAAAGAGGGATAATTAGAAAAGAAAGTAGGAAATAAGTCAGGAATGTAACGGACAGGTTTTAAAATTTAGGAATATATCAATGAAATTAAAACTATTTAATTATTCCTTCAAAAAGTAATCTGGAAGCGGGAAATATACATGTAAAGACAGCCAAAGTAGTTCCGGCTGCTTATTGCAAGCGAACTCTAGATTTTATTAGGTCACCTGAGTAAACTCAGATGACCTGTTTCTGTCCGTTTTCGTCTGTCGTCGTGCGGTGTGCGTCGTTTGTTAACATTTGAACATTTTCAGCTTCTTCTCTGCAACCGCTCAACCAATTTCAACCAATTTTGGCATAAAGCATCTGTGGGTGAAATTGTGAATTTCATGGTCCGTACCCCCCTAGGGCCTGTGGGGTGGGGCCAAAACCACTAAAATTAGTGCAATTTTTAAAAATCTTCTTCTTTTCTCCTGGACATCAAGCAGTAAACTGTTGGCATAATTGTAATGAGCATCGAATCCTCTACCAAAATTGTGAAATTCATGGCCCCGTCAGAGGTTCTAGTGCTAGGGCGGGTCTGTACAGATTATATAGTAAAATGCTTTCAATTGATATCTGCTCTTTGGTATTAACCTACCATATATGATGAAATAAAATTCATGATAAAATTTCCAAAATTTTGGTCCAAGGGTCAGTGGTTCCTTTGGGGTGGAGTGCACAACTGGTTATAAAGTGGAAGTGCATTTTCTCTTTGTTACTCTGATCTACCTCTTGGTATTAAGTAACTAGAGTAAACATGCTAAGTGTATAATTATGAAAAGCAATGGTGCCTCTTTCAAAAATGTGAATTTCATGGCCTCTGGTTTAAAATACGAACCAAATCCAATTGTTGAAAAGTTATTACGGAATACTCAGGTGACCTATAAGGCCCGTGGGCGTCTTGTTGATACAGTTATCGAATCAATTTTTTATCCAATCAGAATCAAGTATTTTATAGAAATTAAATGATTTGAATATCACATAGATCTTTGGTGACTGAGTATCTATAAAAAGTGACGTAATTTTCTGGCTAGTCAATGAACTATGACGTCACGAAATGGGTCAATTTCTTCATATTCTGAAAAACTCTACAAAAACGGCAACTTTTAAAAGCTATTTTCGATTTTTAATATGCTCTATATTGAAAACCTCTGATCTAAAATATGCAATAGTAAATGACAGAAATGTTCCTGAGGATTACAAGACATGTTTTATTTTTAGATCAGAGGGTGCGCCCATATTATTTTTCTTCTCTACTCAAATATTCCTGTTTACATTAAAACTTCAAGAACACTAGCCTGTTTTCCAAGACCTAGTGAATTTTAGCAGGAAATGAAAGTTTCTACTTTACTTTGATGTTTAAAGTGGAACATAAAATGTTCGTCAAGATATTGGTATACCTACAGGGTCGTTTTATGCATAAAGTGAACCGAGCTCTCTTTACTCATACGAATTTATATGATAACCTCCCCTTACCTCCCCACCTCCCATATGATCGCAATGGTAAAGTCTGGGGCTTGAAATAACTGTCAGGTCAAAAAGGAAAGTAAGAGGTGCACAATGGCATTATGCAATAAAAAAATCTCTGAGAGTTTCATTAAATTTTATGGAGAGGTATAGGAGTTACGGATAATGATGGGTCCATAAACCCTAAAGCATATCAGATGAACGGACGGACATACATCCCAATCATTATATACCCTCCTACTTTTCAAGCTTGGTGGATATTAAAGTTCATTGTCAATGTTTAAATAGCTTGGCTAATAGAGGATTTCATGACTCTGTCAGACATTGCATGGTGTTTATTCTAGAGCAATAAAAACACCTTAACGCGCCATGTATTAATTAGAATTATGTGCAGTGTGTTACACGGCCAAAAAGACGCCATTTTCAAGCAGAGATAGCTTGGCTTGTATACTAAATTGTCATCGAGTTTCAAGTGAGTTGTCATTGTCAGTCAGATGAGAGTTTCTCGTGCATATCTTTAAATCAAGACCTAAAAATGCCAATTCGGTCGGATGATCCCTCTCCAACATACCCTCTCTTCAAATACTTTGAAGGTTGATTGAAACATTTCGCCCTTTTCTCGGTCGATGTATCAGATATCAAACTTTGTAAGAATGTTCCTATTTTAAAATGTTGGTGCAAGAAAAAAAAATGAAAATTAGTTTTTTTAAAACACACATTTAACATGTTTAAGAGAAACACAGAAAGTTCTTTAAAAAAACTAAGATACGAGGAGTGACAAATAAGAAAGAAATGTGTCTTTAACGCGACAAAAAAATGAACAAGGAAGAAAAAAAAACGTTAATACATGTATGTTATTTAAGGCGATTTGCATGTTCCCTAAATAAACGAGGATCAAAAAGTCATTTAAATCACGCCAACAACCTGGTAAGCTGTTGGTTTTTGGTAACGAGGTTATTTCAGGTAAATAAGTTTTTGTCAATAACATAGAGCATTTAAATCAATAGATCGATACACCCCGACCCCAGTACACGCACATAGATAACGGACGTTTAGAATATTTGAAATTTAAATGGTCTACTGTACACATACTAAAATACCAAACGAGTGAAGTGGATATTCTCGAAACAGGTAAAATACGTGTATTTTGTCCTTTCTAAGGGGAGGGGGTTATACTTGTTATACTTATACTTATTATAAGATTTGTTTTGTTCTTTTTGACCAAAATATTCTGTGGCTTTTTAAGAACTATATTGTTTTCTATAGATCTGAAATAACTTCCTCTTTTTTTTAAAATACCAGTTGAGTACACATATCCTTTGGCACAGATTGAGAACATTTCCCATTTGTATTTTTTTTTTTAAATACTGTCATCTTTCAGATGATTTTCTTGTTAACCTAATATAGGGGAAAATTTTAAAAGGCAAATGAATTCTTTTTTTTTTTAACGAAATCTGAGCCATATGAAGCATGGATTTTCATGACTTTGGTTTGTTTGTTTTTACTCCATAAATTGTTTTAAGAAACCCCCTATTTCTTTCAACCTCAGCCTTTAAAGGAATTTCATTTGTTATCAAGTATTAACATGTATTTGATCTATAACAAACTATCATTCTTTTACAAAGTAACCTTTACCAAAAACAAGAAACATTTCACTAAATAATATGAAATTTCATTTTGTACTAGCTAGTTGAAGATCTAGAGTTTCAAAAGGGGAATTCGGTAAAATCTAACCCTCTTACTCGTTTTTCGTCAATGTTGCGACAAAGGTCTGTCGGATGGGACGTTTGATGGTGTCCCTTGTCAAGGATGACAATCCCCTTGGCACGCAAAACATGGTTTCTCTCATTTTCGAAAAATAGTAGGCCTGTTTGGGGCCGTCAGGGAAACTCAAAACTTAAAAAGAAAACTGGCCTCATTTTTTTTTTTTACTTTTTATCGCCGACATCTGGCTGAAATATTGCCGAATCGGCATAAAACATTAATTAATCAATAAATCGAAAATGCAAAAAGATAAAATACCTGTTTAAGCCGTGAAAACCTTTCTGTCATTTCATTATATTGATTATAATAGTTTTATGTTTTGATATTACAGGAGGATGACGTAATTAGGAGGAAATGCTAACTGTATCAGCTTCATCTCTTTGTTTCCTTATAATTCAACTCATTCTCATCCGTAAGTATCCTCCCTCCCTTGTCAAAATCAATTAATATATTGACACCTAACTTAATTGATACAACCACCTTAACTATTCTGACTTGCATCTGTCAGTAGAAAACCGCCTACCCGAACCCCTCCAGAATCCCTTTGTCATGAAGCAAGTGAATTTACTGATAACTCTCAAATAAAAAAAAGGCATCGGATTTATTTGTATACATATAAGTATCCTCTTCCTTCCCACCCAACCCACTGCCTGAACGCAACTACATTCTGTAGACTTTTAAATATCAGGTAACTTAATTGACACCCCCTCCTATATCTCCTGAACAGCCAACTAATAATGGGTCATTAGAATATAAAGCTAACATATAAGACCCCACCCCACCCCACCCCATCCCACCCCGCTCCATAACACCAATCCACTTTTGCCCCCTCTGAGTATAGATAGGCCAAATATATATACTTGCTCCAAAAACTGTACGTTTTCCAATTTCTACATTACTCATTTTCTCAAATTTTGACGCGTGTCTTCCTTCTGTCCTTTCTGACATAATTTATTTTATTAAGAAAAAATAGTCATATTGCAGAGTTTATTTAAATGTCGAAAAGGATACTTAGCTTCTGTCTACAAGGTCATTATTTTTAAGTCTATTTCTATTTATAGATGGTCAATCAGACGTCAGTGATGGTTCCACCAGACAGGACCAACACGAGTAAGTATTACATAGCGAAGGGTGATAAAAGGTTGTCAATTACCATTCATTCTGGTAGAAAGGGGACGGGTTTTGAAAAGGTAGAAAGGAGTCATCTGTCATTTAATCACCAAAAAAAAAAAAAAGCACAACCGTTGTCCAAGGTTCCTTTAGCTACGAAATCTTTTAAGAAATTGAATTTTAATGTATGTAAAAAAAAAATGCAGCTTTACTATTTCTATGTATCGTACTTTCAAATTATATGTATGTCCAATGACTGTACATGTAGTATTTTGAGTACTTTGATTCTATTTATTGCCTATAGTTCTTTCAGTACTTTGATTCTTTCTACATTACAGTACTGAAGTGACTGCTATCATAGTTACCGCCGTGATGTGTGGTCTGGGACTCATTATTTGTTGTACAGGGATCATCCTTTGTTGTTACATCAAGTGCTGTACCGGTGGTAAGTGTACAATACAGGGGCGGATCTATAGCAAGAGGTGGAACGGTGGTAAGTGTATAAGATAGGGGCGGATCTATAGCAATCTCGTGTAACGGTGGTAAGTGTTCAAGATAGGGGCGGATCTATAGCAATGGCGTGTAACGGTGGTAAGTGTACAATCGAGTGGCGAATCCATAGCAAGGGGTGTAACGGTGGTAAGTGTACAATAGAGTGGCGGATCCATCGCAATCTGCTGTATCTGTGGTAAATGTAAAAAAATAATTATTTAATTTCTGTCGTATTTCACTGTCTTAAATACTCTTTGCAGAAGTTTTCAAATAAAATAATTTTCTATTTTAGAGGGCTGCATCATTTGACCACATCATATGAAGACCACCTTCCGCTGTTATTGACTCGTTATAAATGTTAACTTATTGTCAAAATGACTTTGTATTAAATAAAGAAATTAAATCTGTACGATTATCATTATTCATTATTTGGATTAGACTACATGATATGAGGATGACTTGTTTGACTTATTCCTGTTCGATGTACATGTAGGACTTTTTATTGGGGTGGAGTTGCTTGCCCCTCCCGAAAACCCCTGGACCCGGAGGACCGGTGGATTTCATTTTCTGTTGGTTTTTTTTTCTTCCCTTGTCACTGCTTCCAGTTGTCTTATGGTGTCAGAGTCTCGCCTTCCGCCGCTGTCACACAGCTGCCGGAGCATTTCCAGGGTCACCATGTCCAGTGGCGGATCCAGGAATCTTGAAAGGGGGCAGTTTGAGGATGGGGTAGGCCCACAGCCACACACACACACAAAATGATATATTAATTCTAATGTATATTTTGGACACAAGAGGGAGGCCCCTGCCCCCTCAAAGTCATTCAGTTATGGTGTGGAGGAGTGACTTGCTGAACCTGTTTGAGACAATGGGCATATTATAACTCAAGGTTTTAACGATAACACCTAAAGGTGCTTGGGGTAAGCAGACACTTAGTACTCGTGATTCCCTTAAGCCCCATACTAGCATTTGAACCCCTATGCATGTACATGCTCAGTACAGAAATTTGTATTTTATATACAGAAGATATAGTTAGTAGATTTCATTTTTCAAAAAAATTTTTTTTATAAATTTTGCATTTGCAGATCCCTTTGGGACTCATATACACATGGTACAGTGTGTATAATCCTGTAGGAGGGACGAGCTTTTAAAAAATTGTTCACAGTACATAATAAAAATTTGGAATGATTTTCATATTGAGATAATCAAACCTTGTAATGGCTCATGTAAAATGTAATTGGGAACAAATTTCGATTGAAAAAAGAAAAAAAAACCCAGACATATCAGATCTTTATATTTTTTTTTTCATTGGTTTAATTTTTTAGTATGTATAATTAAATTTTTGTGTTGTGTAAAATTTCTTGCAAAAGCTCAAACATTTCTCGAGATATCATAGGCAAAAAATAGACATAATATAGGCATTGAACACTAGGACCTACATGTAGGTTTAGTCCTCCCATAGACACGTTCAAGTTTAGTTTAGTAAAAATTAGCACTGAAAGAAGTTCGATCATACCCCCCCCCCTTCCCCCCCCCCCCCCGGTGAAAAAATGATTTTCGTTTTAGGACACATTTCTTTCTTTCTTTCTTTCTTTTTTGCTCGTCAAGCTCTTTTGTAGGCTTGTTTTTTTTTTTTTCACTTAAAGCTCCCCACTTTGTATTTGCTTCTGACGCCAATGGATATCCTGCGGAAACGAAAGTGTATCAGCAGACAGTCAGACAAAAATACAGACGGACGGACAGACGGGCTAAAATTAATATTCCCCCTCTCAATGAAACCGACGGATATCAATATAACGCAAATTAACTAGTATTCTCGACACTCGAGATAAGTCTCTCAGTCAAATTGATCGGGATCGAGATACATAAATTATGAAAAGAAAATAGAAGCATGGCCAAAGGCAGCGAAAACGGAGATGTTAGAAATTTGAATTATTTTTAAAAAGATTTGGTAAATAAAGTAGGTATTTTTCAGAACTGATAAAAATTGGTCATTTAAATAGATTTAACGCGTGAAAGCCGGTTGACAACACAGATGCTTGTAGTTTTCTAATTTGCAAGTTGAGTATAAAAAAAGAAGATAAACATTGAGTGATAAATGAACTCGTTTTGCAAGATGAAGATGTTTTCCATATATATATTTTTGAACATTATCAGAAAAATGTTATTTTAAGTCAAGGATTAAGAAAATGGAATCTGAGTGTGACATGTATTAGATGTATTTGACAGCTTTTCACTTCTCGGGGATGTAAACCCACGCAAAACTTGACATTTAATATGAGGACCCTCAGCAAGATCTTAGTGACAGCTGGCGCCGTGAGTGTAGCCAGTACAGCCTACTTATTGTATAAACTCCTCTCCAGCACTGAAGGTAGGTTTATAATTTAAGTAAATAAAGTTCATTCCTCGGTAATGTACATTTGATTTAATTACTGGAACAGACCATTATCACAGAATTCTCCCCATATTTCTGCATTGTATCAGAGATTTGCAGAATCTTTCTAGTTAAAAGTAGTTTCCTGAATAGAAAAATAATTGAAACAAATGATTTAAATCACATTATCGTATTATAATGCACACTGTTACTATTTTATCTGTTTTTCCTTCAGTATGTAAAATGTTGAAATATTTCCACATTTCTGAACCTTTCGTTTTAGATGCCATTTTTATGGTAAAATCTACTCTATTGTATAATTTAATTCTGTTCCTCCAAGGCAGACAGGAAAGTTTGTTCTTTATTTTCAGAGGATGACAGCGATGAAGATGAAGAGAAGCGACAGAGTGCCACGTCTAAACAGACCATCATAGAGCTCGAGGTCCCGGCTAAGGCAGCGGGGGGCATCATAGGCAGACAGGGGTCCAACATAAAAGAGGTACGTACATCTATAAAACCTGATACAGTAAAACCTGCTAACAGCAAACACACTTATAAAGAATTGTTGCTTTTAGCAATGTGATTTTCTTTCCTCCTGAGTAAGACTTTAAAATACTGTATAAGAGAAAATTTTAGCCATTTCTACCTTAGATCTGGTATTTCATTTTTAGCGAGAAGTAATTTTAGCAATTTTAAAATGTTAACTAAAGAAGCTATTACAAAAAATACACAATTAATTTTTAGCGATATTCAATTTTAGCAATGTCAGCACCCTCGCTTATAATGCCAAAGTTAAATCCTTGCTAAAAATTCTACTTATATGGTATATATGAACAATTAACAGATATTTTGAATTATGCTTATTATGGAGCAGAATTGTGTGTGTGTGGGGGGGTATCATTGGCGAACAGGTTCAACATTAAAAAAGTCGAAGATTATTTATTATTTATTTATTATTTATGGCATGATAGAACCGTAGGTCCCCTCAAAAACATAATTATCAGACTGGGCTCTTTGTTACATCCCTGACAGAACAGAAAGGGGTGTTGTTGATAAACATGGGAACTTAATTATAATGAAGGGACTCACTGCAGAACAGTCTCAAATGTCACAGTGAGAGCAGATAATGTAAAGGATAAAACAAGTTTGACAAAAAAATTGTTTTTTAAATCAAAAAAAATTAATTAATGAATCTTAAGGTAGGGAAAATTTAAATTTCATTGGTACATACATAATTCATCCTCTTGTAATATGTGATATATTTCTTTAATTCATTTTATTTATGAATTTCAAATTCATTATAAGTGAAATTTTGATTCCATTTTAATGAGGCCAAGCTTAAAAAATTCTTTATTTGCAGTTGCTGACCTATAATTTATATACTGGGTTAGTAGGTAGGCAATCTTTTTTTTGGAAAAAAAGAAAAAAAAAATTTCAGATTTTTTGTTAAATGATAAATAATAAAACTTTTCATTGGTCTACTGAGCACGAATAAGCTCTGGACCACTATTGTTATAAACCACTGAAAAAAAAAAACAAAGTCAAAATTTTAAAATGAAACAGTTTCAATAGCCTGAAAAAATTTACAGAAATTGATTTACTAAATGGCTAAAAAAAAGTTAAGGTTGGGTGCATTTTCAGTGGGTCGGTAGGCAACTGCAATCAAACAAATTTTAATTTAAGCCTGATATTATCTGAATGATGGAATAATCCAGTTACAATGAAAAAAAACTTGTAGACGAGAGTAATACTTGATAAGTTACATTAACATTGCCTGAGTTATTAATACTCATTAATTTATAAATAAAATTTTGACATTTTAAATGAAAAAGTTTGTTTTAATTAGGGATATAATGATACAGCAATCCAATTACATTTAGAAATCTCATAGTTTAACTTTAGAGAAATACTTGATCAATTACATTAAACTTATCTCAGTTATTTAAAATTTTGATATTTTTACTTAGATCCAGAAGACTACAGGCACAAGGATAAATTTTAAAGACGACAACAACCGGGCTAAAGAAGAAGATGAGAAGCGTACAATGGTGATACGGGGGACAGCTGAGTCCGCTCAGAAAGCCGAGCTCATCATCAGGGAGTTTGTGGCCAACATGCCAGTCGTACTCACCGAGCAGATATTTGTACCGTCAAGTGCTTTAGGCAGGATTATAGGTAGGTTGTACATTTATCTACAGATGTTAGCACTCTAGGCAGGATTATAGGTAGGTTGTATATGTATAGTATATATTAGTCAGGTCCATTTCTAGTAAATTCTATACTACATATGTTTGTACTGTCCAGCACTCTTGACAGGGCTTTTGGTAGGTTGGATATTCTTTAATCCATTGATGTTTTTTGTCAGCAGGATCATTTCTAGGTTGTTAATTTTTGAAAAGATGTTTGTTAGTTAAAACATTGCAATTGGTGCATGCAGTTAGACATTTCTGAGTATTTTATTTATTTTTTTTGATCAGAGGTCATCAACACCAGCCTTACACATAAAATGGAGACTCATTTATCCGGACACTTTGGTTCCTCGTCAGTTTGTCCAGATATGTGAAACATTCAGATATCTGAAATACCAGTTAAACAAGACAAAAATAACGTTAAAAAATTCAGTTCCGATGAAAAATCATCCAGATACTGAAGTATCGGATATATGGCATCCAGATATCTGAAGGTCCAATGTATATGCATTGCTTTGCCTGTTTCACACCATACTTTTTAAATAAGCATTCTTTCCTCTAATTTTCTGTTTCACTATTCAGGTAGGGGTGGAGAAACAATCAGAAGCATCTCCAGATCAGCCAACGCAAAGGTGTACATTGACCGGACAAAGGATGAATATAGAGAGGTTGATAGAGAAGTCCAGATCACAGGGACTAGAGAACAGATAGACCTAGCCAAGGTAAGGATAGAGATGTGTAGATAGAGAAGTCCAGATAACAGGGACTACAGAACAGATAGACCTAGCCAAGGTAAGATAGAGATGTGTAGATAGAGAAGTCCAGATAATAGGGACTAGAGAACAGATAGACCTAGCCAAGGTAAGGATAGAGATGTGTAGATAGAGAATTCAGGATCGCAGAGATCAGGTTGAGTTTGCCAAGGTAAGGATAAAGAAATCCAGATTATAGAGTACAGAGTACACATTTTGGATAACATAATTAAGGGAGAAATAAAAATTTCAATATATTGAATTAATTTCAAGATGCAAGAAGGAATTAAACAATGGTTCTTATATAGGAATAAGGGGAATTGGTTAATTACTCAGTTAAAAGTAGCTAATTCATCTTTGGAAATATAAGAAATAAAAAGGAGTATAAATAATTATAAAAAAGATTACATTCATGCATACTAGTCAAAGAATTTGAATGATTGATCATCTTGTCAAATGCAATATACAACTGCATGTGATCCCTACAAAGTGTTAACAATGTCTTAATTTTTTCCACAGACATTAATTGAAGAAAAACTCCAAGAAGAAAAATTGTTCAGAGCCAAGAAATCTGTAATGGAGGCCAATCGGGAGAAGCGTAACAAGTCAAAGGTAGACACTGAAGATGAGCAGAGAGAAGCCTTACCATTGGACAAAGCAGAACCAGGTTTGAATCATTCTCAAATATATCAGCAAAATCTTAACTCTGGGTCTTTTCTCCTTAATTTATTATATTTCTAAGTATTACCTAAAATAAATATATAAAGTGTTAAGGGAATGTTTAACACTTGGACTACATATGTTGAGACATGAAATTTTACAAAATATTTATGCAGAAAATTGAGCAGACTGCTTTTAAAATTGCACAAAATGTTGATTTCTACCATGAATTGTAAAAAGAAGTTGTAACACAGTAACAGCAAGCCTGTAAACCTGAGAAACATTTCAGATAGTCTTCATGGTATGAAATCCATTTTTCCTTCTCAGTTCTTTGGTACTGAGTGAAACAAAGGATTAAACATGGTAAAGAAGTACACAGGAACAGCTATCTTACCCAAACCTCAACACTGTTACTGAGAAAAAACTCTTGTATGACGTTTTAATCATTTTAATTCCTATTTTCAGTACCTAAGACCCCTACACACCACACAGAGAACACCTGCTCCTGGCCGAGTGGGAGGGAGTATGTGGAGGTCTATGTCAGCTCTGTGGCCAACCCCTCCACCTTCTTTGTACAAATCCTGACCTCCATGTCTATACAGCTGGACGAGATGGTTAAAGATATGTCACAGTACTACAGTAAAGAGAGAGAGGTAACTCATGTCACAGTACTACAGTAAAGAGAGAGAGGTAACTCATGTCACAGTACTACAGTAAAGAAAGGGAGGTAACTCATGTCACAGTACTACAGTAAAGAGAGAGAGGTAACTCATGTCACAGTACAACAGTAAAGAAAGGGAGGTAACTCATGTCACATGTCACAGTACTACAGTAAAGAGAGAGAGGTAACTCATGTCACAGTACTACAGTAAAGAAAGGGAGGTAACTCATGTCACAGTACTACAGTTAAGAAAGGGAGGTAACTCATGTCACAGTACTACAGTATAGAAAGAGAGGTAACTCATGTCACAGTACTACAGTAAAGAGAGAGAGGTAACTCACGTCACAGTACTACAGTAAAGAAAGAGAGGTAACTCACGTCACAGTACTACAGTAAAGAAAGAGGGGTAACTCATGTCACAGTACTACAGTAAAGAAAGAGGGGTAACTCATGTCACAGTACTACAGTAAAGAGAGAGAGGTAACTCACGTCACAGTACTACAGTAAAGAAAGAGGGGTAACTCATGTCACAGTACTACAGTAAAGAGAGAGAGGTAACTCATGTCACAGTACTACAGTAAAGAAAGGGAGGTAACTCATGTCACAGTACTACAGTAAAGAGAGAGAGGTAACTCATGTCACAGAACTACAGTAAAGAAAGGGAGGTAACTCATGTCACAGTACTACAGTAAAGAGAGAGGGGTAACCCATGTCACAGTACTACAGTAAAGAAAGAGGGGTAACTCATGTCACAGTACTACAGTAAAGAAAGAGGGGTAACTCATGTCACAGTACTACAGTAAAGAGAGAGAGGTAACTCATGTCACAGTACTACAGTAAAGAAAGGGAGGTAACTCATGTCACAGTACTACAGTAAAGAGAGAGAGGTATGTTACAACCCGAAATGTAAAAATAAATCTAAAATTAATGTAGCTTTTTTTAAAGTCTCACTTTTATTGAATACACTGTTCTGTAAGATTTTGCATTAACACATTCTGTGGTTATTTGATTCATTTTTGTAACACATTTTTGTCTACAAAAAGGGGAGTTGTTCATGTTACATTATTAGATTAAAGAAAGAGAGATAATTCATGTTTGTTAACAAAAGGAAATTCATGTCACAAAAGAGAGGTCATTCATGTCATAGTCCTATATTAATGATTAGAATCATGTCTAAGAACAAAATGAGGATTTTTTTCAGAGAAATTAAAGGAGTTAATTATTAAATTAGGACATATATCAGAACCACCAACTCTCCAACTTTAAGGTATACCTTTACTCAGATGACAATAAATTCCACTGATAAGAATGAAAAATAGAGCTGGGTATCGCGACCGAAAAATCGTATCGCAATATATTGCAATATTATATTTTGTATTGCAATATATCACAATATAAAATTTTTAATAAATTTTGCTTTTTGTCAATGTCAAATGAAAACACGAACTCAAATTACATGTATTCTCGAGTTGATATTGCAACTGCCTGGTCTCGTTGTGTCGGCGCAAGTGGCAAGCTAAGTTTTTTTGTGGCACAACTTGACGAATTAAGTTGTAATATTCAGATTCGGCTTTAACATGAAAGGGTTTCATGTAACAGTTGTCTCTTCGTTTCTGACAGAGATATGTCTCTCATTTCTGATCACACTTCACGTCGCTTGCCGCCATATTTTACCTTGAAAAGGGCAAATAACTCTTTTTTTAACAATTTATAGCATATCAAACTCGAACCGGTATTCACAAAAAAAATACCGCGATACGTATTGTGAAGAAAAAAATCGGGATACACCGGTTAACCGGTAATATCGCACAGCACTAATGAAAAACCACCTATTGCACATTGTACACCTATTAGACAGCCAATGATTCTTGTATTAAATTTAAATTTCAAATAACTAGGTCAATGACCAACTTTTCATGTTAGTGGCCCCTGAGTATTTCTCGTAAATACCTAAATTTTTTCACACCATGACCAGTTTTTTCTTAACTCAAAAAATATTACCAGCAACAAAACTCTTTAGATAATGAAATATAATAGGAACAGAACAGCTTTGCTTCGTATCAATAAATGATTAGAGTCTGGGCCATAATCGTATTAATTTTTACAATCTGAATTTTCTTTGTAATATTTATATTTTTTCCCATTTTAAAAAGAAAATTACAAAAATCTTAATGATAAGAACTCTAAATTATTTATAGCCCCAGGTTACTTTTGTTGCCCTTATTCTAATAGTATCAATATTATATGAGGTCAATGATCAAATTGTTGAAATATATTGTCTGGAATTGTTTTTATACGCCCGTCTTAAGACGGGACATATTATGTTATAGGCTTCGTGTACGTCTGTCTGTCTGTTAGCTTTTTCGTTTCTGGCTCATAACTTTAATACTATTAGGCCTAGGATTATCAAACTTTGTCATCTGATGCATCTTGGGTGGAAGGTGTGTCGCGCACAAGAAGTAGGTCGCTGTGACCTTTAATTAAGAAGTTATAGCCAAATATGGAAAAATCCTTTCTGGCCCATAACTAGAAAACTATAAGACTTACAATTATCAAACTTGGCTAGTTTATGCATCTTAGGTAGAAGGTGTGTCGCGACCTATTTCAAGGTCACTGTGACCTTTAATTTAAGTGAAATTAAAAAAAAATGTGTCTTATTACTATTCATTTTCACATCCCAAATAATGTAAGAGTATTGCACTGTCCTTATTAAAAAAGGTGTTGAATCAAGAAAATACTTATTTTTTAAAGCATTATACTTGACAGCAATCTATCACAAATATTATGTATGTTAGAGAAATCCTACCTCTCCCAGTGTAATTATCAAGCACTGGTCAAGAAAAATTTTGATAACAGAAAATTGCATGTCAAATTAGAGAGAAATTAATGAGTTCAGTGTGAGGAGCTAACTAGTAGCTAGAGCATCAGTGTTATCTATATCCCTTGAGTATTGGGCAAAAGGTTAAGCCTGTTGGATTAAAAATTGCTCTTGTTGGCTAGCCTAAGTTTTAAAATGAATTTGATGAAAAGTAATTAAAACTAATTTGATACTGTAGATCACTAAATTTTGGCGACACCTTATTTTTGCGAGATAGTCATTGACTCTTGATTAGCGAGACAAAATTTTCACGAATTGTGGTTATTACTCTATATATTGAGGAATACTACGTGAGAATTAAATTTACGCAACTACACTGCCTCACGTAATTACACGAAAATAAAGTGCTCGCTAATAAAAAGTGATTTACAGTATTGCATAATAGACTAATATGATATTATATAACATTATTACCCAGTAATTTAAAAACTGATTCTATGGGGTGGGGTGGAATCAGCATGTCCATATGAATTACATATTAAAACCTGTCGGACATTAAATCTCAACCAAAAAAAAATCTTTAAGTATTTTATATAATTAAAAAAAAATTTTTATGGTAGATAGTGCAGACCCATTCATCTCTTGGTAGTCATGAGTAGACAAGCATCCAGTTAAAGATTAATTAATCAGTTCAATGTAGGAAGGCTATCTGATCAAGCAGTCTTAAATGTATCCTTTGGGGATTAGACAGAAGAACTGCTGGTCAGTTTATAGCATATGTCATTTGATGGCCAGCCTTTTCTTTTCAAAATTAATTTGGTATAGATTAAGGTGTTAAGACTAATTTGATATATGTTTAATATGTTGGACAAGGTCTAACACAACCAGCATAGAAATCTATCAATGATGTGATATTTATTATAATTAATGCCTACATCACAGGGGGTGGATAAATATTTTAAGGAATGGAAAAATCATGGAAATCTTAGAATCAAGGTTGATGTGATTTTCTTGCACGCTAAACTGTTCAAGAAAATTGTAATTTTTTGATGGGCGTATCATGCTGTGGTGCGGCACTTTATTTTTCATATTTTTTAATTTCATTATTACTTAGCATTCAATATTTGAAATAATTGATGAGCTTTAACACACATAAAATTTGCAAAATGATGTTTAAAAATTCATGTAACCTTTACATTGTAAATTATTTTACAAGAAATTTTCTGACAAAACTGAAAAAAAATAAAATTTAATCCAGATTGGTCATTTTATCCATTTAGAGCAATTTTTGATTTAACATATTATACTTTATTAAATTTCCTTTCTGTCTTCTGAAACCTGAGTAAACGTCATCCTTAAGTGAGTTGCGCTCCCTTAAATAGGCACCATTTTCCACTACAATGACCACTGTCAGCTGATTTTTCATTTCCTCCTGTAAAATATCTCAATCTGTTTTTTCTACATGACCCAAAATACACTTTCAGCTGCTTTTGATCATTATAATTTTCAAGTCACTTTGTAGGTATTAGTATTGCTTTCATAAAATGAAAAGGATTAAACATATGTTATAAATATCTTTTCATATTTTTTCTATAACACTTAGTCAATTAATGGAAGATGATAATCTGTGATAAGTGTTTTATCATTACACACAGAAATTATATCATGATGATGTCTTACAGGTTGACAATGTTAAGTTTGCACAAGTGGGAGATTTGGTGGCTGCACCATTTGACCAGGATACATCATGGTACAGGGCCAGAGTGTCAGGTTTCCAAGGAGATGACCCTGAGCAGCTTGACCTTTTCTACCTTGACTATGGAGACAGCTGTTATCTGTCCAAGAGTAAAGTCCGTGTCTTACAGTAAGTTGACGAAAGTAATATGTAGCATGTATTCCAGATTGACAGCCATTGAAGTACTTCTGACATGTAGAAAATATAAACTGTAAGTTCAGTCATTTATCTGGTTCTACATGATCAATTATCTCCATCTCTCTGCTTAGAATTTTTAAGAAAAAATTACATGTTAGGCCATACCAATTTCTAATATAGTTCGTCAGATTCGCTGCCCCTATTTTTAAAAAATCCAAATTATAATATTATAAAAATAAAATTCGCGCGCGCGCGTCCAAAAATATCCAAATACAATTTTTTTCTAGACTTTTTACACAAAACGCATAAAAGACTTGGAAATTTGTATGACAGAAGCGCGGGATTTAGTTCGTTTGTTTGTACTTTGAAGCAATCTGTGAAGTTTTGCAAGATGCCCTGGTAACTGTTCTTATGTACCAGGGGTGAGCAAGTAGCATCTCCCGACGCCCGGGGCTACTATTTTTGGGGATCGGGCTAGTTGTTTTCTGCAAGGAGGTAGCCCCTCGGGCTAGTAAAACATATAACTACACACGCAATACATGACAAGCACAATCGGTATTTTCACTTCTTTTTGTTATAAAATTCCCAACCAGTTAAAATTTTCCAGACAACATGCTCCTATTGTCAATAAATCTCCATAATCTTATCTGTTTTGTAGTTCTATCTGACTTATTTACTTCCTAAAACGATCGTTTTTTCCTATTCCGAATTTCCTCTATTCCTCCATTTATGGTAAATACATGCAGATATCTCATTAAATTATTTACGATCACCCAATCAACTGAAAGATAAGTGTTTTGTGACTCACATAAAATATATTTCCTGTGTACTTGATGATTTAAGATGAAAACAAAATGAATTTGATTTTATTCTAAATGAGTTAGTGCAATGATCAGGAAAAAGGGAAGCTAATTTATTTAAATTAATTTTAATTCATAATAATTTATGCATGATTAATATTGAAAGCGAGAACTTTAATCTTTAATTTTAAAAAGAATGATCCCAGTACCCTGATTTTTTCAGCAATTAATTCCTTCTCAACATTAGTTTTGATTTTAATTTTTGCCCCTCTGTTTGGGTTAGTAACTTTTTACTTGGGATTAGTAACTTGAAAGCTGCCACTAGCCCGTTGGAAAGTTCTTGATTTTTTCTCAATTGCACACTCCTGTGTACTATAGTTAAAAACATTGGGTACAAAGTAGCTCCATACACAGCAATAGAAACAGAATCAGAGGAGATAAATGAAGCTTTGTTTTATGAAACAATAAAGAGAACATCATCAACATATGAAAAATACAGTACACACAAGATTAAGTAAATATTGATGATATTTTTAGGTCACCTGAGTAAACTCAGATGACCTATTGCTATCTGTTTTCCTCCGTCGTCGTGCGGGTGTGTGTAGTCCGTCGTGCGTTAACATTTGAACATTTTCAGCTTCTTCTCTGAAACCACTGAACCAATTTCAACCAAATTTGGCATATAGCATCTATGGGTGAAGGGGAACAAAAATTTTGAATTTCATAATCCCTGCCCCCCTAAGGCCTGAGGGGTGGGGCCAAAGTCACTAAAATTAGTGCAATCTTTAAAAATCTTCTTCTTTACTCCTGGACATCAAGCAGTCAAACTGTTGGCATGATTGTAATCAGCATTGAGTCCTCTACCAAAATTGTGAAATTCATGGCCCTGGGGTCAGGGGTTCTAGTGCTAGGGTGGGGCTAAAGAGATTATATAGTGAAAATGCATTATTCCTTTGAAAATCTTCCTCTCTGCTCCTAGGCATTAAATAAACTAAATAAGTACATAGTTATGTTGAATAAGGCTGCCTCTTCCAAAATTGTGAAATTCATGGCCCTGAGGTCAGGGGTTTTTAGGTGCTAGGGCGGGGCTATATAGATTATATAGTGAAAATGCATAAATTCTTTGAAACTCTACTTTTCTGTTTATGGGCATTAAATAAACTAACCAAGTGCATAGTTATGTTGAATAAGGCTGTCTTTTCTAAAATTTTGAATCTAATGGCCCCAGGGTCATGGGTTCTAGTGCTGGGGGGGGGGGGGAGTATATAGATTATACAGTGAAAATGCATAAATTCTTTGAAATTTTTCTTCTCTGTTCATGGTCATTAAATAAACTAACCAAGTGCATAGCTATGTTGAATTAGGGTGCCTCTTTCAAAATTGTGAATTTCATGGCCCCAGGGGTTCTAGTGCTAGGCGGGGCTATATAGATTATATAGTAAACAAGAGGCCCATGGGCCACATCACTCACCTGAGAAGCTTTGACCATTCTGTTCTTTACCAGATTTCCCCCTTGTTATACATAATGCATCCCCACCCTACCTCACTGATCATAATTTAGACATTTTGAAATCTACACTACCCCATGATCCTTCCATGGGCACATATGTTTCAGCTTTTTTGGCCCAGTGGTTCCTGAGAAGAAGATTTTCAATGATTTTTCCTATATATTTCTATGTAAAACTCTGATTCCCTATAATGGCCCCGCCCTTCCCCCGGGGGTCATGATTCCTACAATTTAGAATTTACACTACCCCAGAATGCTTCCACATAAGCTTCACTTTTTCTGGCCCAGTGGTTCTTGAGAAGAAGATTTTCAAAGATTTTTCCTATATATTTCTATATTAAACTTTGATTCCCCATTGTGGCCCCGCCCTTCCCCCTGGTGTCATGATTTGAACAATTTAGAATCTACATTATACCAAGATGCCTCCACATAAGTTTCAGCTTTTCTGGCCCAGTGGTTCTTGAGAAGAAGATTTTCAAAGATTTTTCCTATATATTTCTATGTAAAACTTTGATACCCTATTGTGGCCCCGCCCTTCCCCCGGGGGTCATGATTTGATCAATTTAGAATCTACACTATACCAGGATGCTTCCACATAAGTTTCAGCTTTTCTGGCCCAGTGGTTCCTGAGAAGAAGATTTTCAAAGATTTCTCCTATATATTTCTATGTAAAACTTTGATTCCCTATAATGGCCCCGCCCTTCCCCCGGGGGTCATGATTCCTACAATTTAGAATTTACACTACCCCAGAATGCTTCCACATAAGCTTCACTTTTTCTGGCCCAGGGGTTCTTGAGAAGAAGATTTTCAAAGATTTTTCCTATATATTTCCAAATAAAACTTTGATTCCCCATTGTGGCCCCGCCCTTCCCCCGGGGGTCATTATTTGAACAATTTAGAATCTACATTATACCAGGATGCTTCCACATAAGTTTCAGCTTTACTGGCCCAGTGGTTCTTGAGAAGAAGATTTTCAAAGATTTTTTGAGTTGGCTTGCGTAGCAAGCTGCTCCCTGTTGACATAGCCGTTTCAGAGCTGTAAAATTTTTCACGCATTCATCAAGGTGATCCATACGCCAAATATAATAGTTCTAGCAAAAAATGCTTTGGTTTGAGTGATTGTACAAACTTAAGAGGTAAAAACTGTATAAAATTTCATACTGTAACATTATTTATGCCTTCATGCTTTTAAAGAAATTTTTGATTAAATATCTGTAAGATGTACAATTACTGCGTATGAATATATGTTCAAGCATGTTAGGCGGATCTAATCTTCCCATCTGAAGTTTATTTATAATTGACCTAGAATACTCCCTAACACAAACACCTGCTGCTCTCATACGCTGCAGCTAGTTGTTGTTGAAAATCTATTTTTAGAATCCAGATTTGCTGTGGTAATCTTTAACCTAATTATTCCATAACACTGACCACTGCAGCTAGTGTGCTTAAATTTATTATAGAATCCAGTCAAAATAATACGGAAGCCCATTAGTGCCAACCTGTATATATTAAGGAAAAGCAATATACACTTTATTTATGAACCGAACATGGATCAGACATATAATATTCAATCTCTAAAGATGCAAAATAAACTGAATATATTAAGGTATGGTGCCCAGATGCATGAAAAAGCTCAATTGACTCCAGCAAGTCAACTCGCAGGCCCTTCAGGCCTTTGATCCTATATATTTCTATGTTAAACTTTGATTCCCCATTGTGGCCCCGCCCTTCCCCCGGGGGTCATGATGTGAACAATTTAGAATCTACACTATACCAGGATGCTTCCACATAAGTTTCAGCTTTTCTGCCCCAGTGGTTTTTGAGAAGATTTTCAAAGATTTTTCCTATATATTTCTATATAAAACTTTGATTCCCCATTGTGGCCCCGCCCTTCCCCCGGGGGTCATGATTTGAATAATTTAGAATCTACACTACCCCAGGATGCTACCACATACGTTTCAGCTTTACTGGCCAAGTGGTTCTTGAGAAGAAGATTTTTTAATGACCCAACCCTATTTTTGTCTTTTCTTGATTATCTCCCCTTGCAAGGGGATATGTCCCTCCATTTTATCAATTTAAATTCCTCTTCACCCAAGGATGCTTTGTACCAAGTTTGGTCAAAATTGGCCCAGTGGTTCTTGAGAAGAAGTCGAAAATGTGAAAAGTGTACAGACAGACAGACGGACGGACAGACGACGGACAAAATGTGATCAGAAAAGCTCACTTGAGCCTTCCGCTCAGGTGAGCTTAAAATGAATTATTTCTTTGAAAATCTTCTCTGCTCCTGAGTATTCAATAAATTAATACATAGTTTTGTTAAATAAGGCTGCCTATTCCAAAATTCTGAATTTCACGGCCCCTGGGTTAGGGGTTCTGGTGTTAGGGTGGGGCTCTATTGATTATATAGTGAAAATGCATAAATTCTTGAAAAATCGTCTTTTCTGCACCTGGGTATTAAACCAGTGTACTATGTACATAGTTATGAGGAGGGAGGATGCCTCATTGAGATTTTTGAATTTCAGAGCCCCTGGGTCAGGGCTTCTTGTGTTAGGGTGGGGCTCTAATATTTATATATTGAAAATGCATGAATCCTTTCAAAATCTTTTACTTGGTTCCTGGGTATAATGCCAATGATCTTAGTATATATTTATGACGAAGAAAGCTGCTTCTTCCAAAAATGGTTAATTTCCTGGCCCCAGGGACAGAGGTACTTGGGGGGGGGGCGTACATAGTCTGAAAATAATTTAATGCTTTGAAATATGCACTTTGGTATTAAGTAACAATATTATGAAATAAAATTTTTAAAATTTCCAAAATTTTGAAAGATGTGGCCCCAGGGTCAGTGGTTCCTGTGGGATGGGGTGCACAACTGATAAAGTGGAAAATGCATTTTCTCTTTGTTACTCTGAGATACCTCTGGGTATTAAGTAACCAAAGTAAGCATGCTGAGTGTATGATTATGATAAGCAATGGTGCCTCTTTCAAAATTGTGAATTTCATGGCCTCTGGTTTAAAACATGAATCAAATTCAATTGTTGGAAAGTTGTTGCATGATACTCAGGTGACCTATAAGGCCCATGGGCCTCTTGTTGTTCAATTAAAATTAAAGAAAATTCAAAAAGCGATGCAATTGGGATTTCAAAACCTGACATGACCTTAACAATTTGCAAAGAATTAAACAGAAAATTTGTAGAAATGAAACTATGTCATAATTGCAATGTTACGAGAAACGAAAGAAAGACACGTTTTTGCTTCTTATGAGTGCATCAAAAATATATTCTTGTTCAGAAAAAATAATAGGAAAAAGAGAAGAACTTAGAATTTTTTGCCACTAATATTATACTCGCTCGCCTCAAAATTTTGAAACCTGAAATGAAAAAATAAATATTTGTAAAATATTTTCGCTCGCTCACCTATCTTTTTATTTTTGAAAATCCGAAGAACTATGTTACAAATTGGTGTGGCCTAATGTACATGTATTTTAAAATATTGATTCGATTGTTTTTTTAATTGTTAGCCTTTAAAAATATTTCTGTTAATAAAGTAGAAAGAGACATATTATTTACTCTCTAGAAATGTATTGAATTTTAAATTCTAAGGTGTTACACAGATTAAATTGTTATGTATATTTCTGGAAATACAGAGTCTAGATTTTACTTGATCTCTCAAACAATAGTATCTGATGACCTTAATTTATTGTGTATTTATTGTGTATAGAAAATGTTTGCACTGGCAAAGTGGAAATATGTCACCAGATTATTTTAGGTTGGTATATAATTTTTTATCTCTTTCAGACCAGACTTCTTAAGAATTCCTTTCCAGGCTATTGAGTGTGAGATGGCACATGTTTGTCCTACAGGTGAGATATAAATATTACTTTAAATTTAACTTGCAAAACTCTTTCAAGAGCAAAAATCTCAATATATAATAATGGTTAATCTGCTTGATCAAAATGAAAAAAGATAAGGTAGATTATCATGATTATTTTGATAGAAATGATGGAAAAGATTTTACTTGTAAAATAACTTTTTCATGAACAAGTTTTGGCAAAAAAAATTGTTTTAGACGTTGTCTAATTCAAAAGGTTGTTCTATCTGGTAATTTTTTTATGGAACTACAGTGTAACAACAGCGTAATGATACCGTAAAAGATATAGGTAAGTTTTATTGTGTTGTACAAGCCTCTGTCCTGTTTTTAGCTCACCTGAGCCGAAGGCTCAAGTGAGCTTTTCTGATCACATTTTGTCCGTCGTCCGTCCGTCTGTCTGTCTGTCTGTCTGTCCGTCTGTCTGTCCGTCTGTAAACTTTTCACATTTTCGACTTCTTGTCAAGAACCTCAAGGCTAATTTTGACCAAACTTGGTAGAAAATCCTTGGGTGAAGGGGAATTTAAATTGTTAAAGTGAAGGGCCAAGTTTTATTACAAGGGGAGATAATCAAGATAAGAGAAAAATAGGGTTGGGTCATTAAAAAATCTTCTTCTCAAGAACCACTGAGCGAGAAAAGCTGAAACTTATGTGGAAACATCCTGGGGTAGTGTAGATTCTAAATTGTTCAAATCATGACCCCCGGAGTAAGGGCGGGGCCACAATAGGGAATCAAAGTTTTACATTGAAATATATAGGTAAAATCTTTAAAAATCTTCTTCTCAAGAACCACTGGGCCAAAAGAGCTGAAACTTATGTGGAAGCAATCTGGGGTAGTGTAGATTCTAAATTGTTCAAATCATGACCCCCGGGGTAAGGGCGGGGCCGCTATGGGGAATCAAAGTTTTACATAGAAATATATAGGGAAAATCTTTAAAAATCTTCTTCTCAAGAACCACTGGGCCAGGAAAGCTGAAACTTATGTGAAGCATCCTTGGGTAGTGTAGATTTTAAATTTCTTAAAATCATGACACCTGGGGGTAGGGCGGGGCCACAACAGGGAATCAGAATTTTACATTGAAATATGTAGAAAATGTTTTTAAAAATCTTTTTCTCAAGAACAACTGGGCCAGAAAACCTGAAACATGTGTTGAAGCATCCTTGGATAGATTAAATTCTAATTTGTTAAAATCATGAGGCCTGTGGGAAGTACGGTGTTTTTTCCGTAGTTTTTATATATTTTTCCGATCGGGCTCGATATTCCAAATATTACAATATGCGATTTCAGAAAGAGGCTCTTTGTTTACAGCCACGTTGCGCCGGGCGAAAGACGGAGTTTGATTTAGAGATCCAGTTTTAACCCTAATTAATATACCTGATTTGTTTTCGTTCAGTTGTAGAGGTAATGTTTTAAACATGCATTAAACTTCAACCGATTCAATGATGGAGATGCGATGTTTTCATTTGCTTATTCGAGTTGACTAAACTATTTGAAGCTTTTTCCATTTTGCAAATTTATTATGAATTCAACTGTTTGCAATCAGTATGACTACCGCCCATCAAGTCTGACGTCTGATGGTTTCAGAAACGAAACTATTCATCTTAACGTAATGCTTGAGCAGATAGCCATCTTGTTTTAGAAAACTTAAAAAAAAATACAATGGACATGATGGAAACTCGCACTGTAGATATAGGGGGCGTGTTATACATGTTATAGGATACGGCAAAACAATTCAAAATACAAGATTTATAATTTTATTGATGAATAATGATCGAAATAGACAGGTTGAAGAAAAAAGTTAAAACAAGGAAAAAGAAAAGCATGGTATGATTAATGCAGTAATGCAGTCAGTACAATATGGAATCCAGTATATTTTGATGTAACATGCCATAGTCTTCTTGCCTCAGGATCATGAAACAGACGTAGACTTAAGTAAAAATTTTCAACCACTTGAAGAATCTTTATTAACAATGTAATTTATTCATCTAAAAATTTGTAAATAACAACACTTGTGTGGATTTATACTAAAACATATTTTAATTTTTAATCTGATTGGCCTCCACAACAGTGAAAGATTTTGAATTAAACTAAAGATGTTGCATAAATCATGATCCAGGTGCCTGTCTGAACAATAAATGAAAAGACATTTAGTCCTTGTGTTGTGTTGTTTTGTTGCTCGATGATAATGTTATAATTGCAGGGATAAATTTGAGTTTTTGGGAAACTACCCTACTACCCTCTCTGAAGATATTGGGAAAATCAGTAATGGTCTGGGGACCAGCCCAGCAGGTGCAGGGTGATCGGGGGGTGGGGGGATGAATTTTAGCATTTTTATAAACATGTCGTGCATAAAATAGCAAAGTAAAACCATATTTCACACTTTCTGATAATCATGTTAATTTTTACTTCTGTTTTCCAGTTTTTATAAAGAAAAGAAATTTTTTTTAAGCTTTTCATTATTGTAAGGGGTAATTTTTACTAATTAAAAGTTTAAAGGGGGAAATGGGATATTCAGGGGAAGTTTCGTTCTGGTAAGTAAACCCAAATATCGGTAGTAAAGATGCACTAGATTAAACCCTGTATTGTAACAACAAATTATCTACCGGTATTTAAATTGTATATATTAAATATATAATATTATATTCATTACTCTAATACATGTACTGTTAAAGACTGTAATCTCTACTTGAAGTGAAATGTTTTTTGCTTTGAAAAAATATCTAGCCCCTAAGCCATGATCAAACATCCTATGGTTAGTTGGTTACAGCAGTAATTTAATGCATGAGTTTCGAGATTGTAACTCTACTACGACGGAGGTGCAAAAAGTATCCATTTCAGCGTGGAGGTGGGACAGGTTGCTTCTAGCTCTATTAAACCCTGCATGAATAAATAAACGATATTTATGGCTTTTAGAAATTCTTAAATGTTATAGAAAGATAATGATGTTAAACAATGATGCATTTGATGAATTTATCAAGCTCAACTATGCATATTTATACCCCCCTTCGAAGAAGGGAGGGCATATTGCTTTGCTGCTGTCTGTCGGTCGGTCGGTCGGTCCACTTAGTTTCCGTTCATTTTCTTTGCAACCATTGCACATACTGAAATGAAATTTGGTATACAGATATATCACATAAATATCTAGGTCAAGTTCTGTTTTGGGTACAATCGCACCATTTTTGACAGAGTTATACCCCTTGGACTTAGAAAAATTTCAATTATTTGCAGTTTCCGCTCATTTTCTTTGTAACCGTTGCACATACTGAAATCAGATTTGGTGTACAGATATATCACATTATTATCTAGGTCAAGTTCTGTTTTGGATAGGATCGCACCATTTTTGACAGAGTTATGCCCCTTGGACTTAGAAAAATTTCAATTATTTGCAGTTTCCACTCATTTTCTTTGCAACCGTTGCACATACTGAAATCAAATTTGGTATACAGATATATCACATTATTATCTAGGTCAACTTCTGTTTTGGGTATGATCGCACCATTTTTGACAGAGTTATGCCCCTTGGACTTAGAAAAATTTCAATTATTTGCAGTTTCTGCTCATTTTCTTTGCAATCGTTGTACATACTGAAATCAAATTTGGTATACAGATATATCACATTAATATCTAGGTCAAGTTCTGTTTTGGATACGATCGCACCATTTTTGACAGAGTTATGCCCCTTGGAGTTTGAAAAAATTCCAAATATTTGCAGTTTCCATTCATTTTCTTTGAACCTGTTGCACATACTGAGATGAAATTTAATATACAGATTTATCAGATGAATATCTAGGTCAAGTTCTGTTTTGGATACAATTGTGCCATTTTTGACAGAGTTATGCCCCTTGGACTTACAAAAAATTTCCAATTTGGGGGGAGGGGGGCATAAGTGTTTTACAAACATCTCTTGTTTCAAATTTACTTTGAATTATAGGGTACTTGAACACATGTTGAAAATGAAAGAAACATTGTAGTGTTTTTAAAAAGTGACAGATTTTCTTGATGGTACAAATTAACATTTTCCAAAGAAATCGTGTTTTTTTAATTTGGTTATTGTGACAATCATAAAGTGACAATGAACCAGTATATCGATGGTGCAATGTATCCAATATATAAATATCTGTCCCACCTGTCTGTTTACACGGCAACGAAACTCCCCTCCTCAACGAAAGAGCGCAACAAGGGAGATTATTTCGAAATTTACATATTGGGATCACTTTACCCGGCATCTGTCTGTCCATCCATCTGTCAAACCTTGTATCTCAGTATCTCAAGAAATATAAGATATATGGTTATTTATTACTTGACACTATGGCATTTGTAAATTGCCATGATTATATTTCAGGTTAATTGCACAAGATACCTTGGTCATGTTACATAATATCATTTTTTTGGCCAATGATTTACATGATAGGTAGGTTATTGGAAGAAATTTCAAATTCTTTTTTGCATATACAGCCTCTGGATAGAAGGAAACATTTGCATTTTAAGTTTGGTTGATAATGTAAAAGATCCAATAGATATAGGAGTTGGGGAGAGTACGTGTACTAGTTTTTTGATATCTGATTAAAGATTGGAATTGATTGGAAGCATTTAATTCCATATTAGTACATATAATCTTCATTTAAGTAGTTGATCCTCATTAATATAACAGACAGAAGACTTGTCAAAATTTTTTGTTAATGAAGTCAGGTCAGCAGTCATGTGGCAACAATTATGTAGTGATGTGCATTGAAATGGTAAAAATTTCATTTGAATGGAACATTCCAGTTTTTCTTGTAGAGCATCAAGTGTTACATAATGATGTGTCCTTTTCTTTAGAAAAAAATGAGAAAGCAATTCTCTGAGCAATATTGTGTTTATGCGCCCCACTCTGAGACTAGCAAGTATCGAAAACTTGGTTTTAATTGACAATTACCTATTCTATTTTGGTTTCATTTACACAATAAACTGCCTATCATTTGTTTTTTCTATAAAATATTAATTAGGCCTTTGTT